ACACCCATGCCTGCGCCTACGCCGTTACCTACGCCAGAGTTGCAGGCCGCATCGACGCCAGCTCCGGCGTCCCCAGCGAAACCAGCACCGATGACAGCTCCTATGCCAGCACCGCCAGCGGCACCAACCACTATTATTTATCCCACCCCGCCGACGACCCTGGGTGTCCCTAGGCTAGCACCGCTGACCACCGCATCCATTGAGGCGCCCACGTCCACATCAACGACAGCTCCGACGGCAGCATCGAGGCCAGCCTCGATGAGTCTTCAACCAGTCACTGCTCTGACGCCTCGTCCATGGCCGCGGGCGGGAGTGCAGCCTTCAGGCGCACTCTCCGCTAGCGGGGCCGCCATGTCATGTCATGCCACGTCCGCTTCGTCGCCCGTATCGTCTGTGTCACTATCTGCGCCGACGACCACATCGACGCCACCACGGACGGCAGCTGGGACGTCCGCATCGGCAGCGACAGTTTTCGGGCGACCGCCTTCGACGTCAGCAGTGGCAGACTCGCCGGCGGCGGCACCAACGTTGCCACCCACGGTGGCACCTACGGCAGTCCCCCAAACGGCCTTCACAGCGGTATCCACGATAGCACTCATGACTACATCCACGGTGGCATACACGGCCATGGCTCCCGTGCCCACGTCCGCACCGACGCCAGCATTGACGACAGGATCGGCCTCAGTATCGTCGGCACCGACAGCGGCATTGACGACGAGATCGACACCATCAGGCACACCCACGGCTATTGGGGCCGCCGTACCACGCCGTATCATGCCCGCCACGCTGTCACCTACGGCCCCACCGACCCAAACAGCGACGTCAGCACCGACGACCGCATCGACGCCAGCCTCGGCGAGCCCTCAACCATTCACTGTCCTGACGCCTCGCTTAGGGCCGCTGGCGCGGGTGCCGTCTTCAGGCGCACCCTACGCTAGTGGGACCGCCATGTCATGTCAGGACACGCCTGCCTCGTCGATTTTTTCGTCTGCGGCACTGTCTGCATCGACGACAACATCGACGACTACGCCGGTACCCACGCCAGTGTTGCAGCCAGCATCCACGCCAACTCCGCCGCCTGCATCGGCGCTCGCATCCATGGCAGCATCGCCCATAGCTTTGACACCAGCACTGCCAGCGGCAGCTCCCACGCCCACGCCTACGCGGGCACCAACGTTGACACCAGCACCAACACTGGCACCGAGCGCAGCCGAGACGTCATCGCCGACGACTACTCTCATGCCAACCCTGCCAGATTCAGCACGCCCTGAGTCGTCCGCGGCGGCGCCAAAGGTGGCACCCACGTCGGCCTACACGGCAGCGTTCGTGGAGCGTGTGTGGTTGGAGGTCATCGAGCGGTACAACGTGGTGTCATTGTCCACGTGGGCCACCTTGTGCGCCACGTACGGCATGTACTACCTCTCCATCGGCATCCGCGACGAGTGGCGGCGACGGAGCGCAGCTACAGCGCGGCGCCGACGCCGACAGTGCGGCGGCGACGTCAACCGCAGACGCCCTCTAGGCCACCAGACGGCCGCCCAGGGCCGCCCTGGCATCAGCCCCTACACTGCCTCGAGCCTCGCGTCGACCTCCCTACCAAAACCTGGGAGCACGCCAGCGGGGGCGGCTTCAGCCCCCCCGCATGGCACCACGCCTGCCATTCCTGTCATCGGCCCCCACATGGCCTCAAGCCTCGAGTCGACCCTCCCGCCAAAACCTGGTAGCACGCCAGCGGGGGCGGCTTCAGCCCCCCCGCATGGCACTACGCCTGCCATTTCTGTCATCGGTCCCCACGCTGCCTCGAGCCCAGGGGCGACCTCCCCGCCACAACCTGGTAGCATGGCAGCGGGGCCAGCCTCGGCCGTCTCACATGCTCACACGCCTGCCCTGGATCCTGGCTCCCTCGCAATCCCGCGTGTTAGCACTAGCACTCCCAGCACTAGCACTGCGACTGTTCGGGAGCACCTCGAGCGCTACCTCGGACCACAACCAGCCACCATCGGTTACCTCCGAGCAGTCAACCGTCGCTTGGCAGCTCGGATTCCACCGCGGCTCCACGCCGGCACCGAGGTTGTCGTAAAAGGCCAGGTCCACAACCCCATCAACGGCCTCAGAGGCATCGTACGAGGGCCGTCCAGGGAATACCCAGGCCTCTGGACCGTCACGCTGCCTACTGGTGACACTGCCCACCTCCGCGGTTCCAACTTGACCGTCCCAGCACCTCCGCTGCGCGCCGAGGTGCCGCCCACCAGTACAGGCATACTCACGAGGGCGCCAATTCAGGACCCCCAGCCGGCCCCCGCAGCGTACACAAGTTGCATCAGTCTGGCGGCACGGCGGCCTGACGACTCAGCGGCGGCACCCTGCAAGTCGGCCCCGCTGCCTGCCGCCAGCAGCCGCGATCAGACGGACAACACGGCTGGCCACGACGAAGGCCTCGGTGGCTCACGCGATGACGGTGACGACGACGGCCTCTTCCTCGGGGTACAGGTCGAGATCACCGCACCGACCAGCCCTCTGCGTGGATACATCGGCACAACCATCGACTTGTCTGGCGACCGCGTCGTGGTCCAGTTCACCGGCGGTCTCACCGTCGGTTGGAGCCGCTCCGATGTGACTCGCGTTCGCAAAGACCCAGGGCTTCGGCTGTCAGGCAGCACGCAGAAACTGATGCGGCGCCTCGACCAGTCGCCGCGCCCCTTCCCCGGGACTGCCCTGGAACCCCTCCATGACATCCCGGAGGAGCCTGTCCCTGCTGACCTCCCGCCTGCCCCCTGGACGGCAACATCGGTGGAAAAGACAAGTGTCTGTTGTTCACACCTGCTACACATGCGTACAAACACTCACTCGGACTCTATTCTGTGATGTCAGAAACAAGGATGCCGCCACACAGTGCCTCAGCCTGTTGGGTCTGAAACAAGGATGCCGCCACACAGTGTCTCTCCCCTGCCGGCACGAGCGGTGGTGTTCGTAATGGGACCTCTTCCACAAACGTCTTTATGCCTGCTGCGGGGGTGGCGGCTTCAGCCCCTCCCCACGCACTCGTGTCTTCACGCCTTGTCATGTCCGCCATGTCGTTGCGGGTGCATCCGCTGTGAGGGCCTCCACTGCACCTTAGCACTGTCTCTGCCTGTGAGCATGCGGGCCATTCGGCTCCCAGCATGTGCACCTTTTCCTCGGCGCGTCTGGCGCCCCTCTGCTGTCCGCCGCCTGGCCGCGGACTCTGTCACTTTCGAGGTCCGCCAATGGGGGCTAAAGGTTAGCTGGCAGCGGCTGGTGCCGCTGTGCTGTCGGCTAGCCTTTGCCGCTCCTGTTGGGGTTCTCGGCCTGTGCGCACTGTGCTGGGCCATACGGCTCCCAGCTGGTGCACCTTTTCCCTTTTCGCCAGCCCGTGCGCCCGCGAGGCACCGCGGCCACGGGGCCTGGGCGTGGGGGCGGGGGGTGCCCCGTCTCTGCGCGCCGCGCTGCGGCCAAGCGCCCAACCGGCGGTCCGCCAAGCCGCCTTAGCCACGTTTTCACGTCGCCACTAGCGTTGGGGCCTTTTTCTTCACGCGGTCTGACAGGTGAGATCTTCACAGTCTGTCCGCCGTCCGTTGCTTCAGACGCAATGCGCCGGGGGAAGGGGCCTGTTGCCCGCCCTCGTTTCTTAAGGCTGCACCGCCGCTAATAGTGCATGCGAGTTGTCGCACCGCAGTGCGCCTCGCGGACGGACCCTGGTCCGCCCACTTGTCCGCACTCGATGTGCTTCTGTTGTGTTTTGTTATTCTCTGGGAGGGCCTGAACCCAATCTGCTTGCTCCGCCTTCCTACTTTATGCTTTTACCTGCTTCTTCCGACCGGCGTGCATATGCGTGGCGGAGACGCACCCGCACCCCGAACGGAGCGAAAAAGCAGGCCGGTGATTCCCGCCTCGCAGGAGTACGGGGCGGCTGGTTCTGCAGAAGCATGGCGGAAGCAGCGACGGCGAAAAGGAGGGCGGAAGTCGATACAGTGGGGGCCCATGCCAGGACACATCTTGCTTGCCTCCAGGGTGCCCTGGATTTCTTTGGTTTCGATGGTTTTGCGATGGAGAGCGTAGCGTTCCCACACCAAAAATCCGTGGACGTCCTGGGGGCTCAGGGTTGGGTTTCTTGTGGAAGGTTTCTTGTGGTCGGGCCCCCACTGTATCAAACGAGCCCGAAAGGTGGGGCGGAGACCTCCACCGTGCGCCGGCGAATATCGCCCAAGACTACAGTCCGCGGACGCCGTGCGTGCACCGCGCGCGTTGAACGGCGCCGCCCGCGGCGCCGTCGAGCCTCGGCCCAGGAACTGGTCGGTGCCCCGTGGTTCGGCCCCTCGAGTCGCAGGCCTGCTGTGCACCATACATCAGGAAGGAGAGAACACACACACACAGACACAACGAATCGTCAATTCCCAGGAAAGTATGGGAAAGTATGGGAAGTGGGGGGGAAGACGAAAACCCAGAAAATATAGGAAAAGATGGGGAATCCTGTTATCTGTGTCTATCTATTTGTGTGTACCTGGGCCCCTTCAGTACAGTGGGGGCGCGCATCAAGAAACCATATGCTTTTCGTCAGGGCATCCTGGGTTTCTTCGCTCCGCGCGCTACGCGGCGACTTCCCGCGGCCATTTGCCGCGGCAACTTCGCGCGCAAGTTTTCAGGGTTGGGTTTCTTGCGAGGGTTTCTTGCGGCCGCGCTCGCAAGGGGGGAAGCGAGAAGGGGCCGGCCTTCTCAGAAGGCTCGGAAGGCCCCTGGCCTTCTGAGAAGTTTTCCAAGCCGTCCCCGAGGAGGACACAGAAATCCTCTCAGACGGCCGGAGAGCTTCTGAGAAGCCCCGCCGCCTTTTCTGAGGGCCTGCTCCTTCTTCTCATTTCCCCTCTCGCTCGCCGCCGAGGGAGTCCAAGCATGGTACGGTGCATGGGTGCCGTTCTCGTAAGAAGTACGGCGGATCTGGAGGCCTGGTAGGCTCGATGCCACCGCCCTCAGCCCGACCTCGAGAGGTGGGGGCCCTCCCGGAGCCGGTGGTCGTCGAGGCGAACGCTGGGATGCTGCAGCGGGCTTAGCCGTTGCCTCGGAGCGGCGGTTCGGTGGCGAGCACGTGGGGGAGGCGGGAAGGGGCGGGCCTGCTCAGAAGGCTCGAAGGTGCCCCAGCCTTCTGAGAAATTTTCTAAGCTTACGATGTTCCTACCTACTTTAGCCTCGATCACCAGGAAGACTTGCGAACATCAAAAAAAAAACGAAACTCAAGGGTTTTCACGTGTCGGGTCCTGGGAGGCACTCGTTCGACATTGTTTCGACACTGTTTCTATACTTTTTCGACTCTTCCGGGTGCTTCTGGGATGTGGACCGTAAGTACGATGGGAACATAATTCTAAGCTTTCCCGAGGACGCAGAAAGCCTCTCAGAAGGCCAGAGGGCTCCCGAGAAGCCCCGCCGACTTCTGAGAAGGCCTTCTCCTCATTTCCCGCCCTCGCTCGCCGCCGAGTTACCTCAGAGCGGCGGTAGTCGGAGGAGAAGGGCGAGGAGGGTTTTGTTGCAGCTTTCGGCCTGGCGCTCGCTGGGCCCCAGGACCGTCGAAAGAGGAGTCGGGAAGGAAGACTGGTCCCGGGGAAAGGGTCGGGAGTTCCGGGGACCGCGTATGGAAAAATTCGGACATCAAGTGTTTGTGTCTCAGAGCGTCACTGCCTCTGTTTTGCTCCCGTTTCCTCACGGCTCAGTGCTGTGCCTTCTCCTCGGCGCACCGCGGTAGTTCTGCCGTTCGTGGTGTCCCACTGCGCCCGCCCGCCAGTTCCAGCTGCTGGCAGCCGCCTTCCCGCCACCCTTGCCTCTGTGGTTCGCCACGGCCGCCCACCGCGCTCTGGCCCTGCGCGCTTGGTTGCTGCTGCCCAACACGGCTGCTCATCGTCGAACTCTTCGACGTCTGAGCGTCCTTTCTCGGCCGTCCCCCCCCCCGCTTTCCTCGCCGGCCAACTCGCTAGTGAATGCCCCTATCTAGCTTCTCGCTGGAGCGGAGTTCCCCGCCTCGCCGCTGACGAAAAAGTGTTTTGGTTCAGAAGGTGGCCTTCGGGGGGTGGCCTCGTCGCCACGGCTGGACGCAGCTCGGAAAACTTCGAGTAGGGGACCGATTCGAGAGTTCATGTACCACAGTATGGATTTCACTGTCGAGTCCAGGATGCATGCGTAGAATATTCCGTGCATCTACGACGCGGACATCCATTTTGGGGCAAATCACTTCTGTAGTCGATCCCCTACTCGAGAACTGGTGCGTTTGGACCCCAGGAGGGTTCTGGGGACCGGTTCTGAGCTGCCTTGGCCTCCATTCGCCTTGCTCCGCGACAGGGGCGAAGAGCCCAGCAGCGGGCATCACGCGCACGTTCGCCAGGAGCCCCGCTAGAGACCTGGACCATCGGCGCCCCTGGATGACTGCAGTGGAAGGCCTCGTGCCGAGAAGCTCCCTGCTCGCCTCCAGGGGGTGCCGTGGGTTTCTTGGGTTTCGATGGTTTTGCAATCGAAAGCGCGGTGTTCCCACACCAAAAATCAAGGGGCGTCCTGGGGTCTGAGGGTTGGGTTTCTTGTGGAAGGTTTCTTGTGGTCGGGCCCCCACTGCACCCAGCAGCGAGTTAAGTTATTTCATGCCTTCGCGCACTGCTCCCAACACTCCTGCGTTGAACTCTCGTTTTGAACGGAGCACTGCGGTCGCACACCTCCCTCTCCTGCATCGGCCCCGCCTGCGGACAGCTCGGGTCGCCCGACAGGGAGGGGTTTCACATGCCAGAGACAGGGAGGGAGGAGGAGGAACAGGAGGAGGAGGAGGAGGAGGAGGAGGAGGAGGAGGAGGAGGAGGAGGTCTCAGGGCTGGGTTTCTCGTGGGAGGTTTCTGGTGGTCGAGCTCCTACTGTAAGTACTTGCTCGTATTGCCCGCCCTTGAGCCGTTCGCCCCGTGGCCGCCTCCGACTGCCCTGGCGCGCGCGCGCGCCCGCCGGCGCGCCCGCGTCAGCAGAGCGCCTCGGGGTTGGCGGGCTTGCGGGCGCTTCCGCCGGCTCCTGGACGTCTGCCTGCCTCGTGATGCGTCCCGGCAGGTGCGCCTCGTCGAGGGCGTTCCGAACCGGGGGGGCCTGGTCAGGTCAGGTCAGAACCGTGCCTGGACGGCACATCGGTTGCAGTATGCGGCCGCTGCGCTCTAGAGCAGCCAGAGCAGACATGCTGAAAATCATACCGCGCGGAGGAGGAGGGCCCGGAAACGGCCGCCAGAGATCCGGTGGATGGCCCGAAGCCCAGGTGTCCCGTCGCCGGAGTGACCTTTTGTGCACGGCTTTCGGGGGGGGTGGTGGTTCGGCGGCGAGCGAGTCGGGGAAGTGAGAAGGAGAATGCCCTCTCAGAAGGCGGTGGGACTTCTCAGAAGTGCTCGCGCCTTCTGAGAGGTTCTCCTACGAGTACCACTTCATACGAGGTTTTCGTTCTTACGAGGTACCTCGTACTCGTCTGCCACCGCCTCCTCATCGTGCTCCTCCTCTTCCTTCTCCCCCTCCCTCCACCCATTTCTGCCTCCCACTCTCGGGGCTAACGAAAGACGGGGGAGTGGTCTGCAGTGAGCCCGTGAGGGAAGCGATAAGGTTAAGTCGGGCACGTTCCCCTACAGGAGTATGATTCAAGATAGTGAAAAATAGTATGGTGACGATTTTGTTCGTGCTCTTTTGACTACGTTTGAGGATTTCTGATCATTGTTTGACTATGTTCCATTCTTCTTTCAAACATCCGCCTACATGCCCGACCTAAAAGAAGTTGCCTAAGCTTTTTCCGAAGACACAGAAGACCTTTCAGAAGGCGGCCTTCTGAGAAGCCCCGCCGCCTTCTGAGAGGACCTGCCCTTCTCACTTCCCCCCCACGCCTCGCTCGCCGCCGAGTTGGTAGAGAGTGGGGGCATGACATCAGCTGTATTCCGCTGGTTTCTGCCCCTCCGCCGAGCGCTTGCTTCGAACATATGACCTCCTCCTGCGCGGGGAGGCGCCAGGAAAGCCAGCTGAGTGAGCCGATTGGCTAACCTTCGCTTGGCTGTCCCCCCTGCTCGTCCGCCCGAAACTATTATTTCTCCGTTGCCTCCCCTTGCCCTTCCTCCACTCCCGCCTCCTCCGACTCCAACTTCGACTTCTCTTCCCTCCGCTATACCGACTTACTCCTCCACCTCCTCCTCTTCTATCTCTGGCTCCTACTCCCTCATCCCCTCTTCCTCCTCCTCCTTTTCCGGGAAAGGGCTGAGGCCCAGGGTTTTCTTTCAGTAGGTAAACTTGTGGGCCGGATAATTTATTTGCGATAAATAGCAGAGGAAAGTCCCATTCTGCGTGGAACAAATGCGTTTCGCGCGTGCCCGCTCGAGGAAAGTGCGCCCCCCATCTCGGATCCTCGCTGTATAGTGGGGTCCGCGGAGCCCCGCTTTCCTTAGTATAAAAGAGAGTGTTGGAGCCCCGACTGGGACACGAAAAAATTGAAAAAGTTTTCTTTTTGTGTGCCCGCTCGAGGATGGCGCGTTCCGTGCGCAGGAATTTCGAGGATGTCTCGAGTCCCGCGCTTATTTCGTAGAAGTAAGGTTGGCATTTTGCGTGCCCGCTCGAGAATGGCGCACCCTGCGGGCCGAATATCTGAGGATGTCTCGGGCGAAACGCTTGTTTTGCAGCGCTTGCAGACTTGGGCGCTCCAGGATGCCCAGGTGGTTCTGGGAGTGCGGTCGGACCATTATTTACCAAGGATCGTGGCCCTGGGAGCGCAGATGCCGCGTAATTTGCAAAGGATCCTGGCCCTGGGAGCGCGGACGCAGCGTAATTGACGAGGGATCCTGGCCCTGGAGGCGCGAACCCAACATAATTCACTTGAGATCGTGGCCCTGGAAGCGTGGACACTGCGTCATTCACAAGGGAGCGCGGCCCTGGGAGAGTGGACACTGCGTCATTCACGAGGGAGCGCGGCCCTGGGAGCGCGGATGCAGCGTCGTTTACAAGGGATCGTGGCCCAGGGAGAGCGGACGCAGCGTACAAGGGATCGTGTCCCAGGAAGAGCGGACGCAGCGTAATTGTGAAGGATCATGGCCCTGGGGGGGCGGACAAAGTGTAAGTTACGATGGATCTTGTCTCTGGGGCGCGGACACAGCGTAATTGACGATCAGTTCGGTCAGGACTTGGATGCAAAGGAAGATTCGATCCACAACACTGTAGAACACAATCGCGGCATGGCACATCGCAATTCAGCATGGCGCAGCACAGCACAGCCCTCGGCACGGTACATCAAGATCGATACATTCAGCATTGCAATTTGGCACGTTCCGTGGCACGTCACGTGGCGAGTCCCCTTGGCACGTCGCGCGGCGCGTCCCCTGGCACGTCCTGTGGCACGTCCATTGGCACGTTGCGTAGCGCGTCCCCTTGACACGTCCCGCGGTGCGTCCCCGTGGCACGTCCCCTGGCACGTCGCATGGCGCGTCCCTTGGGACGTTCCGCGGCGCGTCCTCTTGGCATGCTCCCTTGTCAAGTACCTCTGGGGCAGCTACTGTGTGCTGAGACACCTCGAGCTTACGATCCAGATCAGTTCGGGCAGGACTCTGATACGAATTAGGACTCGATCCACAACATTGTAGAGCACACTCGCGGCATGGCACGTCGCCATTCAGCATGGCGCAGCACAACACAGCTCTCCGCACGGTACATCAAGATCGGTACATTCAGCATTGCAACTTGACACGTTACGTGGCTCGTCCCGTGGCGGGTCTTCCTGGCACGTCGCGCGGCGCGTCCCTTGGCACGTCCCGTGGCGCGTCCATTGGCACGTTCCGTAGCGCGTCCCCTTGGCACGTCCCGCGGTGCGTCCCCATGGCACGTCCCCTGGCACGTCGCATGGCGCGTCCCTTGGGACGTTCCGCGGCGCGTCCTCCTGGCATGCTCCCTTGTCAAGTACCTCTGGGGCAGCTGCTATGTGCTGAGGCAGCTCGAGTTTAGATCCATATCAGTTCGGTCAGGATTCGGATGCAAAGGAGGACTCGATTCACAACGCTACAGAGCACGA